GAATCTCTTATTTAAATAAATAATAATTAAATAATTAATCTCTGGTTTATTTATTCACTTAATATTTTTAAGCTCCCAGTCAGTGTTCTGCAGTGGTGTTGAGACTTCGTAAGGATTTGATTTGAATCAAAGTACTTTCCCACAGAGCCTTTTCAGGAGTTGCAGAGCATAATACATTTGAAGCTAGGTGCTGGGAGTGATTTTGTTTGGTTTTTTATATTTAAATCCCTTTCAAGCTTTGTCTATATGGAGGAGTTGAGATGAAATATTCTTTAATTTGAGTGTGCAAACGTTACTTTTTCTTAACCTTTTGTTGGCTAACAGTATTTTTTTTACGTTGAGACAGCAGAAAATGACACGGTACCCCTGGGCATTTTCCTGTAACTAAAGACAGTGCTGTCAGAATGGAAAATCCCTTAGAAGGAGACAGCGTTTGTGGGAGTCTGGTGTACTCCTGTCCAAGATCACGACTGTGCTTGAATAAATTAAATAACAGTCTTGAAGAGTGCAAGCACAAGGGCTGACATGTTTTTCTTTTGGGCATATGGTGATCTTCACTGTAGCTGGCAGCTGTCTCTTTTTTTTTAAAGTTCTTGAGTTAATCAGTACACAACTGGAACCTCTTAGGTGTTGGCATTGTGAAGATTTATTGTGAAGAGGTGATGAAGAAATACGAGCCAAGGAGTACAAAGAAATAAGTAACTGCAAGGCTAGTGAACCAGGCTAAAAAAAAAAAAAAAAATCAGGGCTACAGAGATACTTGGAAAGCCTTTGTTTTACTTGGGGGGGGGAAGAAAAAAATTATTAATAAATACTGATTTTGCAGATAAAGATTGGGAAGACATAAAAAAGATGCCCGAACATTCGACTTTAATGAAAGATTTCCGGAGAAACACGTAAGTCTGCTTTGATTTTACTTCTCCCTCTTACCATAAATTGCTTGTAGCTCAGGTTGTTTTCTATGTACATGCTAAACAAGGACTATGAAATGGTTATGACTTAGATTGTGACAAAAAAAAAAAAAGAAAAAAGAAAGCTGTTTTATAATGGTGAACTTGGCCTGTTGAGACAGTGTGAATCAAAAGAGTAGCCAGAGAGAGCCTGTAAGCGGTGGCAGGCGTGAAGGGGGTGATGCCAGTAAGACCCCACACAGCTCTGAAGATTGCAAAGCACAGTCTGTCGCAGCTGTTTCCAGGACCACAGATTTAGAAATGATTTTTCTGTGATAGCTGCATAAAAGATAACCTTATACTGTTTCCAGCAAACAGTGGGTATAATTGTCAGGTTTGGTGTCTAGAGTAGCTTATGAGGGCTAAAGAAAAGAATACCTTCCAGTTTTGCTGTCACGTTGCCGGAGTCTAATACCTGCACTTAAGACCCTACCCTGTTGCCTTGACTCCATGCTGAGGGATTTGGGGCTGTACTGTTATATACATTTCTTGCATCTGCCATGCTGTTGTTACCATTTAGAAACCTTATTTCTGAGCCTCTCTTCAAAAAAAGTGAATTCACAGGTGTTCTTGTAGCAACCGGTACATTGCAGGAGAGTGTTAAGATGTTTTTTCTGAGCATTTATCTCCATGTGTACTGGCATTAGAAATATATAGAATGAAACTATATAGCAGTAAAATTGCTAAAAGGTATTTTAAATCCAAGTGATAGTTCAGTGTCTGCATGTGGGTTAAAAGTGTGCTTTTTATGTGGATGTGATGTGTTTTTACAAGCATGTGAGAGAAACAGATGCACTTCTGTAGTGTCTGGATGATTTTTAAGCAATCTCTGTTGTTGATAGTTGTGGGTTTTCCCTGCTTAGCGGATTAGCAATGGTGACTAAAATATTCTTGTCAATGTTTCATGGCTCCCAAGAGAGCTTTGTCCTATTAGATTTGCATATTAGAATTCTCACCTTTTTTTTTCCTTCTCTAGGTATACCAACTGCAGCCTTATCAAATATATGGAAAAACATAAAGTTAAACCAGATAGTAAGGCATTCCACTTGGTAAGTTCTTGCATGTATAAAAAAAATAAAACCCTCATTTAAGCTACAGGTGTTCAACCTGAGAGTTGAGCTGGTGTCAGGTATTCTGTGACTAAATTTTATTTTACAAATATTATACCTTATTATAAATAAAGTTAGGAATAACTGATACTCTACAATCTGAAAATTGCAAAACCACTTTATCTTCTCACATTGATAAAATGATTCCGAGTCATTCACTGCATTAGTTTCTGTATCGAGTACATCAGAAGTTTTTAGTCTTTAAGTCATGTTAAGCTTGTAGTTGTATTTGCAGTGTTGCTGCAACTCTTACCCATTTTTCTGCTTTGCATACTTTTAACAGCCTATTTCTTAATTTAAAAACAATCATAAATGCACAATTTTTTTAAATATTCATTATTAAGTTTACATCTTGTGCACTTTTGTTTAAAACAAAAAACCTCAAGACTTGAACAATTAGTTTGGAAATTTCAGTGTGCCTTCCTGGTGCACTAATCCTTTGTAGCTTTCTTATGAAAACTTCCTAGTACTCTTTCAACAATTGGTTTATCTCTAGAATATCTAACTTTTTGTATTAAGACACCAGTTAAAATTATACATTTGCTCAGCCCTAGAAGTGCTTGTGTTACCTTGTTTCAGATGTTACTGTATTGGGCTTTTTCTTCTGTGTTTTTTAAAGAACATTCAAGTTTCTAAAATAAATTCTGTATATGAAGGAGAAAGAATTTAAGTATGTCTGGTCTCTCTGAATGGACATTCTCCTTATCCTGATGTTTCCAACTCAGATTAAATGTTTTCAGGCTAGAATTATAAAATAAATATTTGGGGGGGGGGGCAGGAATGAGGGAAGAAAACAAACAAAACTAGACACAAAATAATCACATGAGAATAGCTTAAAACACTTACTACAGTGTTTTTTCTGTGCAGCATCACAACAGGGTGATAACTGTTTTGAATGTATTCAGCATTTCTGTTCAGCATGTTTGTGTCTATACCAAAAAGCAGTGGTTACATGAAAATGCAAATTTGAGGAATAGTGTCCTTTACCAGGCCGCTACCACCCTTCCATCCTTGGTCATATCTGTCAGTACTGAACAAGAAGATGGGAAGGGGAGTTTGAGTGTGGACCCCTGACTGCACATGCTGTTCCACTGCTGCTTGAGCCACTCATTCCACTTTGGACCTCTACCCACCTTCCCTCAACAAAGCTGATTGGCAAGAGAGCAAACTTGGTGCAATGTGGATGGTGTCAGTCAGGGTCATGCAACCTAAAAAGCAGGGTATTTAGCAGTGTAGACGTAGCCATGTTCTTTTGTACCTCCCATAGATACAGATTGTGAGGGAAGTACTGTGAAGTTCATAGTTAAGTAGCACTGATAGAATCTTCTCAGTTTTCTGGTAACTGCTGTCTGTTGAAACAATACACTGAAAATTGGATCCCATTTAAAAGCCCTGGTCTTTCCAAAGTAACATCTTGAAGCACTGTTCAGGCACTGTCCAAATCAGAAGGTGCCTTAGGTTTCCACCTCTGTTGTTTGAGGCTAGGCTGAACTGCAGATGAGCGCCTTGGGCCCCTCCACCACAGCCTGAACAATTTCAGCGAATCTCTTGGTACCAGTTCTTCCAGAGATACTCCAAAATCTTACTCTTCCACAAACTGTCTCACAGCCCTTTTACTCTCTGCATCAGAACAGATAAAAAAACCTGTTTACATCTAGTATCGTAAAATATGCCAGAACTAATACTTCCCGGACTACTAAATCCAGAGATTGTTGTCATTGCCAAAAATGAAATGTTTTGATTTCTCAACTTGAGTTAACCAGATTTTTCCCCTCTTTACTGACATTCATGCACATGGTCCCTTTTCACATGCAGAACTGATGTGTTACATGAGACAACTTTGGCTCTTTCCTGCTTTTGCAGCTTACATTTTTTTTCCACTTTCACTTTCCTGATTCCACACCCCCCCCAATTGTTTATGCCCTAGGAAATGGGTACACAGCTGCTGCTCCTGGTTATTTGAGTGATGCTTCATCTTCCATTTGGTTACTTTGGTCCATATGAACTGTAGTGATTGTGCCGTTCATTGCTGATATAGAGAGTTTATTATGTCATTCAGCCAGGTGATCTTTTAATTGAACAGTTTTTAAAATAGAAAACATTTGTAGTAGTAAGTGGAAGATTCACTTCTGTGCTGGCATCTGAACAAGGGGGCAAAATAGGAGTCTTGATCCCCTGTGTGATGATCATTGCGCAATCATTAAACTTTTCTTACGGTTTCTGTTTTCTGTTGCTGATTATGATCAAGTTTGTTCACATTTGTCAGCATATGATGGACAGCTTTATAACCTAATTGCCAGAAATTATGCCAGAATTTTGCAATGTTTTTTGATTGTAGTGTTTGTTGGCAACAAAGAATCGCGTGTTGGCAATCCTTTCTCATTTTTTGCCTTCCTCTTTTCTGGCTCCTGAGATTGCTTTTTGAGCTGTTTGAGAGAACAAGAATTGTTCTGTTCAAACCAATATTCTGCAAAGACTACATGCAGGCTCAGAGAGCTGAAATAATTTATTGTGCGTCCTTGCTGATGATGTGAAAAACAAAACTAGATTGATGGTAGTAATACATATTTATTATGTTCTTAACCATGCCATTAAAACTGAAGGCTGAGGAGAGAAAATGTACTTTCCTAAGTTCAGCTATCTGCAGCGTGGGGGTCTGCACTGTGGTTGTGTAGGCTCACTTAATAGCTAGTGAAAGGAGATGACCAGTTCACATATCGATCATGACATTGGGTCTTTATAAAAAGGTGAATTTAATCCCATGAAAAGTATGAATAGCAAATGTAAAATGAACATTATTTGCATGTATAGTTTCTGCGTATCTTGTTAGATCCATGATAAAAAAAAAAAGCTACAGGTTGAAAGCATAGAATTTCTTTTAAAGATCATTGTCTCTGACAGTGTAGTTTTGCCTTGGACCCTGTATGCTATGGGGAAACGTGAATTCTCACTATTTTCCATTTTTTGTCTAATATCTGAAGGTTATCTCATACTGCCTGTATACTTGTCCAGCACAGCCATATTCCATGGAACTGCTAGGTGGATGGGGAGAGAAGTATATGCACATACACCAGACCTTTTGAATGAGAAACACTTTTAGAATGCATCACTGCAATTCAGTGCTCGCTCTGGTCTGCTATTCCTAAAATACAGAAAAACTTCCAGACCTGTGGAGACAGCATGATGTGCCTAATGTGTTTTTTATTGGGAATCACTGTTGAGATGCTGCAGTGACAAACGTATGAAGTCCAGCCAGCTTCTGAAATGTTTACATAGGTGCAAAATGAGAGTGGGAGAGTAAAATCAGTACAAACAGTAAAAACAGTTTTTAGAATTACCTTTCACTCTTTAATGTTGTGCTTAATTTAGACTTCATTTACGTTACTGGTGTTTGAAGTTTCTCGAGGAGTTCCTGGCTATGTATCCTAAGCGTTTCTCATAACACGTCCATCTAAGTAGCAATGGTTGTAGCTTTTTTTTTATACAAATTTTTCACTTTACTTCGGTTAGGTCAGTTTTATTTTCTTAAATTTTAATTTGTGTATTACCTTAGGGTTTTTGCTCTGCTGTTACTGAAATGTCTTGTATGCCATTTTTTTAAAGTTGGGCATCAAGCAGCAAACACCTAGTGTGATTCTTAGCCCTCTGTTAACATTTCCCAGTGAGACTAAGAGGTGCTTTCTCAAAGGGTAAGGTTTTACTGGATCTTTAGTTGAACTGAGTTCAATTACTTTGTAAAACCACAGAATTGCTTAGGTTGGAAAACACCTTTAAGACCATCAAGTCCAACTGTTAACCTAACACTGCCATCCCACCGCTAAGCCATGTCCCTAAGCACCTTGTCTACTTGTCTTTTAAATACTTCCAGGGATGGGGACTCCACCACTTCCCTGGGCAGACCATTCCAATGCTTGACAACCCTTTCAGTGAAGAAATTTTTCCTAGTACCCGATCTAAACCTGCCCTGGTGCAACTTGAGGCCATTTCCTCTTGTCCTACCGCTTGTTACTTGGGAGAAGAGACATTATACTTTGCCTTGTCTTCCACGTATTTATACTTTGCGGTCATCTTCATTGTCTTCAACCAACACGGGCAGTTGTTACAAAGATAAAGGCTGAGGTCTTACACTGATGGTGCAACAGCACCAGAGCTCAGACTTGATGTGCTTGTGGAGGAGGCAGCTTATTAGACTTCTGTAGAGTATTTTGCATCATCTCATGCAAAAAATCAACTAAAATTCAAATTTTTCACAACTGCTCTTCTGAGCAGCGTGTAGCACACAGATGCTGGGAATCCGTATTTGTCGGAATAAATAAGCACACACTGGAGTGGGTGATAAAAAATTTTCTGGCCAGGTGGGTTTTTCAAACATGTTGATTCCTACTTTCTTTTACAGCATAAAGATTTTTCTAAGGAATGACTTCATATAACATCTTTAAAATACTATGGCAGACAATGGAGATGCACTAATGTCACAGTACTAAATAATGAGCAATAACGGACATGGAATCACTTTTGTTTATTAGTTGCTAAGAAATCTTTGAATTCAAATGGTTATCATGTTGCTTCCTGTTAAGTGCAGTGTAGGTGAAGAAACCAGGCTAAATATGTGCATGCTACGTCATCTTGAGGGAAGTGAACAGACCATTAAAGAGAGAAGGACTTTGGGGGGTATGGGTGGATGAAAAGCTGGACATGAGCCGGCAATGCGTGCTGGCAGCCCAGAAGGCCAACTGTACCCTGGGCTACATCAAAAGCGGTGTGGCCAGCAGGGCAAGGGAGGGGATTCTGCCCCTCTACTCTGCTCTGGTGAGAGCCCACCTGCAGTCCTGTGTCCAGCTCTGGGGTCCCCAGCACAAGAAGGACATGGAACTGTTGGAGCAGGTCCAGAGGAGGGCCACAAAAATGATCCAAGGGTTGGAGTACCTCTCCTGTGAAGAAAGGCTGAGAGAGTTGAGGTTGTTCAGCTTGGAGAAGAGAAAGCTCATGGGAGACCTTATTGCTGCCTTTCAGTACTTAAAGGGAGCTTATAAGAAAGATGGGGACAGACTTTTTAGCAGGGCCAGTTACGATGGGACAAGGGGTAATGGTTTTAAACTAAAACAGGGTAGGTTTAAACTGGATATGAGGAAGAAATTCTTTACCATGAGGGTAGTGAAACACAGGAATGTGTTGCCTGGCGAGGTGGTAGAAGCCCCATCTCTGGAAACATTCAAGGCGAGGTTGGACGGGGCTCTGAGCAACCTGATCTGGTTGAAGCAGGCGGTTGGACTAGATGACCTTTAAAGTTCCCTTCCAACCCAAACCATTCTATCATTCCGTGATTCAAGCTGCTGGTACATCACGGAAACTCTTTGAATGTTTGTGTTAGAACATTTGTGGCTGGAACTAACTGAGTGTCCTGGGCTTTGCGAGTAAAAATAGGTGGTTTTCAATAGGAAATGAAGCTACTATTTTAACAAGAGAGAAGAATGTGGTTATGCCATTTATGGTTAGGGTTTTGAGTTCAGACGCATTTGTATCAGCTCATCTTTCATAAATAGTACAGTGAAGTTTCTGTAAGCGGTTTTGGTAATGCAGAGCTTTTTATCTTTTATTTTTGCAGCTTCAGAAATTGCTCACTATGGATCCAATAAAGAGAATTACCTCAGAACAGGCTATGCAGGATCCCTATTTCTTAGAAGATCCTCTTCCCACATCCGAGTAAGTGGTCAGTTTATTAACCTATCAGTACATCCAGAGATGCTTTAGAAATGTGTGCTTGCTCTCTGCTATAAACATGTTTGTGAGTATTGAGCTAAACACTCACTGTCTAACAACCAAAGAAAGCTTATAACCACTAAAATGCCATTTGTGGTTTTTAAAATTAAGTAGCATTCTTATTAATCTCTTGCTTTGTGGAACTTTGATCCTATTAGTCGCGGCACTAATCTTGTTATTCACTGACAGGTTGATTATGCACGCTACAGATCTTTGTAGACAACTGCTAAGTGCCCGCAGGTCCACTTCTCTGCTCCAGAATGCCAGATGACACTCTCTAATTAGTTTACATTTTTCTGTCTTAGCCTTTGTTGTAAATTCAGTGGGTGGGGGAAGTCAACTCCGTGTCTCTGCGCTGTCATCCTTAACAACTTAAATCCATTTTCTGTAGACACTCCTCTTTAATTTGTGCAGGGAGATTCACAAAAGGAAGAAAATTTAGGGACAATGAATGATTTCATTAAAAATTAAGCCCCCCTCCCAAAAGACTAGCCAGAGAGCATGATTGCATACCTTTTGAGGAAAGCTTTTAGTACATCCTGTGCATGATTCTCTACCGTTATCTAGGGAAGAATTTATAAAATACAGTATGTATATTAATAAGCAATTAATTAAAAATAATTTCACTGAAGCCTACTGGATTATTTATAGCAGCTCCTGGCCTGTCTCTGATTTAATGTTGTCAAGTGAGTGATTTGGTTTTGCAGAAACTGCTTTTAGGACAGTGTTTGACAACTTTAGGTTATCACTTTAATGTGAATACACAATGAGTAATGCTAACAGGTGTACAGAGACTTTATAATAAATACATTCTACTGAATAAAGGCAGGTAAATATTAGCTTGCATTAGCAGTAGCAAATTCATGTGGACCATGAGATATGAACTGGCAGGTGAAATTTCTAGTTATTTTTAAACTTTGTTCCAGGTGGTTTTATTAATAGTCAGTGGACTTTCCAGGAGTATTTTTAGTTAGTCCTGAGATTGTGAATTACACCATAGCTGGATTAAGATAGCTCTCTGTGCCCTTGCAGATATCTGCAGATATCAGGTGGTGTCCCTTTCCAGCCACCAGTTTGGTCACCACTTACCAGAAACCATGAAAACTATTGGGAGTTTAAATGAGTGTATAAGAGGCAACTGAAGATTAAAAATAAATGTGAATAGGCTTCCTAAATTTAGAATATGGTGAAAGTAAGACAGGGAAAACTTCTCCATTACTTAACAAGAATTAAGCTGCGGCTCAGGCAACTCGAAACTCGCATGGGTGAAGTATGAATCTTACAGATCTAACCCTTCTGTTCTAATGCAGTGATAAATAGACTTTTTTGGGGGGCAGTGTTTTTGCAGGTTGTCAAATCCCTTACCCAAAACGAGAATTTTTAACAGAAGAAGAACCAGATGATAAAGGAGACAAAGTAAGTACTAGAAGAACAGTATCATCATGCTTCACTGGCTTTCACACTATTTCCTGTTTTTTCATGTTATTTCGCGTACTGCTTTTGAGTTGAAATTTTTCTTTGTGTTTAAACAATTGAGAAGAACCAGCAGCAGCAGCAGGGCAATAACCATACTAACGGAACTGGTCATCCAGGGAACCAAGACAACAGTCACACACAGGGACCCCCACTGAAAAAAGTGAGAGTTGTTCCTCCTACCACTACCTCAGGTGGACTTATTATGACCTCAGACTATCAGGTATTGGTTTTATTCATATATTATGTATTTGGTTCTCATGTTTAACAGCTCTGTTTCTTAAGCTAAAAAAGTAATTTTGTAAATGTCACTCTCTTAAATGGCATTTTTTGGCATCTTTCAGATGTTTTTTCATTTAAGTCAATGGTTTGCCTGTAAATCGATATGCTGATGCTCTTTAGGTTAGCAGTAAGGAAATTAGGATCAGAGATTCTTACAGTTACTAATTTATTACCTCCATATTGGGGAATGCTGATTGTGGACCAGGAGCCTGTTGTGCTGTGCTCTGTTTCACCTAAAAGTACCATTCTTTATTTGAACAAGCCTGTAATGGTAGGAGGCAAGGGATATTACAGTAAAAAACCTGTGAAATCAGAACCTGAACAAGAATTTTAGTTGGGCAAATGGATGGGAAAGCAGTATTTTGGATGACAAACAGAAAGACTGGACGTGATGATGTCAAAATCTTTGTTTTGAAGACCAAGGGAGATTCCAAGTTGAACAAGTCCAGTATTACAGATCTGAAGAGACAGGTGAGGTAGTGGTGATCAATGTGAGGAAGATGAGGAGGAGTGTAGGAAAAAAGCTTGAGGAAAACTTGAAAACTGTGTTCTAGCCTTCCTGTATTTGAGCTCCTGGTCAGACATTAGGAAATGAGAAGAGTCTGGAGCAGAATAATATCTGAGAGTTATCCCAGAGAATGATACCTGAATTTGTGGGTTTGGATGAGGTTAATCCTGGAGACTGGGGAGAACAGTTAAGGACAGAACCTTCAGTTTATGCTAGCTAAGAAATTACTAAAGAGGAGCAAGGAAGACTTCAAATGATACGCGCAGGAGCAGTTAGAGGGGTGGCAGATCTTGGAAGCCTAGGGAATAGAAGATTTCAAGAGGAGGCAGGCTGGTGGCAATGCCTCCTCTTCAGGATGAACTGTTACATACTGGTTCACATGGAATGCATAGTGCAGAAGGCCAACTGGAAGAGAGTCTTGGATGAAATCAAAAGATGGGGAAGGCAGAAATTACTGGCAGTGGTTTTAGTTAATTTAAAAATTAACATCTAAATCTGAGACCCTAATATTGGAAACCCACTTAGCTATGCTTGTATTCTGTAGCAAAACGTAAGGAGAGGTAAAGAATGGTGTCAGTAAAACTCCTGCTGTCAACTTGCTTCTCGCAGTTTGGTACTTACTGCTTCTCCGTAAACACCAGTGGGCTTTGAAATCTTGCATTTCAGTGTTTGTTCCTGAGAGCACCAGATATCCTCAAAGGCTCATCCTTACCCTCATCCTTATATAAATCTGTTATATTTCCAGCATTGGCCAAAACTTGAAAGTAGTAAAAAATGTAAAATAAGGTCATTTTCAGGAGCTTTATTGTGAGACCCTTCGTAAAATCCCCAAGTGCCTTCACTCAGCTTATCCCAGGACATCAATAGCTTATCAGTTTTCAAGGCATTCTCCTTGAACGATGTACATTTTTAGAGCTGCTTGAAATATTTGAAACAGTGGGCAGCCTTGTGGGGGTGCCTCTAAGTATAAACATCGTCTTTCTTTTAGTTGGATTGTGCATTGCAGAGCACTCTTACAGGACCTTCATCCCTTTCAATTTGGCAAGCTGCAGTTGATTGGTGGTTTGGCCTTTTAGCTGGCTCTATCCACCACTTCTGTTCTGTGTGTGTAATTTTAAGAAGGCAAATGCAGCTGCAGTCGATTGCTGGTTTGGCCTTTTAGCTGGCTCTATCTACCACTTCTGTGTGTGTAATTTTAAGAAGGCAAATGCAGCTGTAGCTCTCTTATTCTTCCCCTCGCGTTGAGTCACATATCTAAGGAGATTGATGCACAGGTTGCATGTACTGTGTCAGGGAGCCCCACTTACGTGCCCTATTTACACGCCCTTCACCTCATTTTGCTGCTGCAGCTTGGCATTTTGGACAAACTTCAGCTTCCACTTCTGTGAGCAAGGTTTACTAGTTGAGAAGTCAGAAGACTCGAATTGCTTCGGCAGGAGTTGACGTTGGCTTGTTTTCAGCTCATGCTCATCAAAACTTTCTTACTCTCAGATACCCATCCCAGGATTGTAGCTGGGGGCAGCCCTTGTCAAAAAACATAATTTCAGAATACTTTTGCCTTGAGATGATGATAACTGCTACTTTGCTATCTCTTGAGCTCCTATTGGTAACTTGACTGCTCCTGTCTAATCTTTTTGCTGTCTCTCTTAGGGAAACAAAACACCTGGTTTAAAAAAAAAAAAAAAAAAAAAATTCCCCACACCCCCCTGGCTCTGCCCAAGTCTTGGAAGAAAGAAGAAGGCAGTGGGTAGATTTGTTCTGGTTAAGGTATAACATGGTAATCAAAGGGAGGAGACCTGAACTTGTTGGCACTAGAACAAAAGTAGTTTAAAAGCTGCCTATTGGTGGTTTCAGGTCTCCCTGAAGAAAATTGCTCACATTTTTTGCTTCTGATCCTGCAACTTGAGGAGGCGGCAAACAAATATTACAATACAGCCCTCTGTTTTAATCAAACACCTGTTCCTTTGTTCTTCATTTAATTTGCTCCAATTCCCCATATAAAGCTTGTGAAGGAGGATTGCCATCTCCTGGGCAAGGCACACTAAGACAGTTTCTCCATCCACTCGGAAGTCAAATTACTCTCTGCAGAGCAAGTTGACCTTGTATGCTTTTCTGCCATGCATAAAAATATTAGACGCATGGCACACAGGCTTTCTTGCCTTCTCATTTAAATCTGCAATGTGACACTTCCAAAGGCAATGTGCCTAAACAGGCTGGAGCAATTCCACCACTCTGAGCTTTTGCTTGCGATAACCCTCTGGGGTGCTTAATGGTATTTAGAAAGGATTGGATATTTGCATTTGTTCTTAAACAAAAGCTGTTTGATGCGCTGGGTGTCATGAAAGAATCTGATGATTTTTAATTGCCTCTGTCTTAAAATAAGATCTGTCTTAGGAGTTGGGATGCAGAAAGTGTTTACAACTGACACAAATGGTCAGTTTTTAAATGTTTAAACTTGTGATAGATTCCTACATACAGGAGCCATGCTTGGGCAAAAAGAATATTCGGGGATTTGTGCCTCCGAAGTACATCCTGTATTTGTTACATGGAGAAGGGTGACCCAGAGCTGTGACACGTCTGTTGGCGAGTGACTTAGTCCATCTCTCAGGAGCGAAGGCAAATGTCACAAAAGTTCAGTCACCGTGTTAATGGTGCAGTTCAGCAGTGCTGGTTTGTTCCCGTTGGCCTTAAGTGCAGCTCCAGCCATTTCTTCCCCTTTGCACTACACGCCCTTAGAGAATTAGCTCGGTCCTGTGAGCATATGTCAACAAGTCGAGTTTGCCTTTTCATTTCTGCCATCATCTCAGCATCCTGATTATGGCTTCTGTTCTAAATGCTGAACAGCAGGAAAAAATGGGGTGTTTACTTATTATTTTATGTTGTGACTTCAAACTAGCTTTACAGATTTTACATATTTTACTTTCTCAGGATGTTGGTTCACCATAGTTGCACGTATTCAGGTCTCAGCAGCAATACCCTAGTCCTGGAATATTCACCTCAGAGAAATTTCCAGACCTTTACTAGAAGCAGCTTTTTCTAAAAATCCTAATACACCTTGTGATATCAAGAGTGCAAAGTTATGCAGCAGTTTCTAAACGCTGCAAAATTTGTGAGTGTGTAAACCTTAACATAAACACAAAACAGCACAGTAATGTACTGAAATGGTGTTAACTTAATGAAATGTTAAATGCTACTAAGTGGTCATATGCTTGGGTGAAAAATCTCACATGCAGTCCTCTTTTCCTTTATAATGCATGATGTGTAAATAACCAACTTTCAGGTTAAAACCAAAGCAGGCAGTTGCTGTTTTGCTCAGAGCTTCTTGCAATGATGAATGCTCCACTCAATAAATAATTGTAGAAATGCTGGTTAAGAGGGGCCTCCGGAGACCATCCAGTAGCCCTGTCTCCCACTTGAAGCGGAACTGTTGCTAATGCTAAATCAGGTCAGCCATGGCTTTATCTAGCTGAGTCTTAAAAACCTCCATAGGTGGAGACTTTGCAGCCTCTCTGGGCAAGTTCTTCTAGTGCTAGACTGGTCTATTAGTGATTTTAATTTTTTTTTTTTTTCCCCCCCCTCACCCTAATGTCCAACCTGAACCTCCCAAGCCACAGTCTGGCCACTTCCCCTTGAAATATCTGATTCCACTGGGAGGCATGTGGCTGCTGTCTTTAACTCTCCTTCAAGTATTTGTAAGGCTGCTGCTGGATGACACCTTAGCCCAAATAGTCACAGTGCTCTCAGCCTCCTAGGTCATACAAAGATGTGGCAAGCATATCCTTTGCATAGGAGGATCTCCAGAATAACGCAGAGTGGCTCATCAGCAGTAAGATGCACCGCTGGGACCTCCGCCCCAACGTACCTCCTCAGCAGGGGAAGGGAGCAAGCAGAGAAGACCGCTGCCGTGAGCGGTGGTAGCCTTGTGTAAGGTGCAGGTGTACTGTAGCCATCTGGAGGGTTGGCTGGAGGTTTGACTGTGATGGGTGTAGATGAGGATGGATAACCGAGGGATGGTAATTGTCACTTTCTAATCTGGTATTCTTGATGTTCACACCCGTACCTGCTGTAGTCAGAGTAGAGAAGCCTGGCAGCGCGGCTGCTTTGAGACTGTGTGTGCTCAGTACCCCCTGAAGAAATAAACGGGTAGGCGAAACGGCCCTGCAATGTACCTGTTACGAAGGATTGCATTTCCTCTGCTTTTACCCCTCTGCAGCGTTCCAACCCCCATGCTGCCTACCCCAACCCCGGACCAAGCACATCACAGCCACAGAGCAGCATGGGATATTCAACTACCTCCCAGCAGCCGCCACAGTACTCGCATCAGACACATCGGTACTGAGCTGCATCCCAATAACGTCAATGCACTGTTGCTAATGCTGCAGGACCGGCCGCACAGCTGCCTGCCTGGAACCCGGCTTGGGCCACGAGAATGTACTGTACAACCACACCTCCAACCTGTCCGATCGCCACGATCCACCCCCTTCCACAGAGCGGAGTAGTGGCTCCCAAATTGTACCTGGTTTTGGGGTTAGACTTGAACAGAAAGTGCTAGCACAGTTTGTGTTGTGGATATGCTACTTCCATAGTTTACTTGACATGGTTCAGACTGACCGATGCATTTTTTTCAGTGACAGTCTGTAGCAGTTGAAGCTGTGAAATGTGCTAGGGGCAAGCATTTTTGTTGTCGTATGTGGTGAATTCTCTTGATGTAACAACTTTATCTGACCAATAGTACACAACATCTTTGAACTGGTACTTGAAGCATACAGTATATGTTACCATGGCAAAAAAGCAAACTAACCGTGACTCTGAGACAATTTTGATAGACGTTTATTTTTAGTGACTTTTGTGGGTTGGTTCATTTTCCACCTAGATCGATGTTTTACGACCGACACGATTGCTACGATGAGATTTTTTTAAAAACATGAAAATGTTTGCATTTTTTCCAGCAATTACAAATGTCCCAAAGATTAATTTCCAACATAACTTTTTGGTTTTAAATCTATGACTTGACTGGTATTAAAGCTGCTATTTGATAGTAAAATAAGTATGTTGTCATTGATATGAACATGTTTGGTTCGGCAAACAAACTAAAATGATTGTCATAGACAGTGTTTTGGTTTTTTTTTTTCCTGTTGGTGTTAATGATTTGTGAGCATGCTTTGGGATTAAAAAAGCATGAATGATATTTCCTAAAAAGGTGCGGCATCCATTCAGATATTTCGTCATGATTTTTGAGAACCAGCTTGGTGTAGTGGATTCTAAATTTTGTTCAGTTAATTATTTTTTCTTTTTTAAATGTTCACACGTTGTTTAGGGGTGCCATCCCTACAGCAGAGGATCAAGGTGTTAGGAGAGCCTTAGAATTTATGAGGAAAAACTTACATACAATGTACTGTATCAAACTATTTTACATGAATGACGCAAGTATTCTGAATAAAAAAAAAATCAAACATTGTTAAAACAAGGTGTTATGTAATAAATTTATTTTTCATAAATCTGCATATGACCTTTGCCTGTATTCCTTTTTACCGGCGACAACATCCCGCTCCCCCATCATACACCTGTATCGGGTTGTGTCCTCAGAAACGATATCTGACAGGAGTTTTTCTAGCAAGTGGACAGGTTTCCATGAACTGACGAGAAGGATTTTTTGTTTTAACAGCAGAAAACAATACAGTGACTTTATAAAACGTCGTTACCCCTGTTGCATGTACATGTAGCTGATCATTGGAGATGCACTGAACGTGGGTTTGTTACTAGCTACGTTTCATAGATCAGATGGCTCCTTTTCATCTACAAAATCCTGTCTGAATAGTTCTTTCAAGGTTTCTGTAAGTCATTCTTACCTTGGTATCTAACATCACACCATGATTTTATGACATAAATATATGCAATATATGCAGGATTCTTTTTTGGCAAGTGTTTCGTGTCATGTGAATATCAACTAGCGTGATCCATTCAAATGCACTGACTGGAAAAGAAAAACGAAATCGGTAGCCAGCCCAAAATGGAAACCGTGTCTGAGGTGAAGATAGAATTATTTGAGTGGAGTAGAGGTTTAAGTATTCAGGAGACTTAAAAGTAAAGAAAAAAAAATCCAAGTGCAAAGTTTATGCTGCTTTAGTAATACTGTGTGATACTTCTTTCTGATGTCAGTGTTGTCAAAATCTGGCAGTTTCTGGAAGACAAATAAATATACAGGCAAGAGTGCCTTAAACTTCTTTTTGGTTTGTTTTTCAAGTGAGAGCCTTTTTTCGTCCTTAATTTTTGTACAGGCTTCCAACTATTTAGTGTCTCTAGACTTTTCCCAGGTGCTGAGGTGGCGACGAGATTAATTTTTCTGTGGCTAAAGTACTATTGGCCTAGATTTTTTGGTTTCTTATCGATGCATATTCACAGTAATGCATAATAGTTAAGATGTGCATTAATATGAATAATATTATTTGATACCAGCATATTGCAATGTCTCCAATGCTTTGTTTAAAAGTAGCAGGCTGGCTTTAATTGCATTTTTGCGAAGTGAAGTGCATCCGACTGACAAAAAGGACTCCTGCCATTAATTTGCCCTTGAATTGAATTTTCCGATTAAGAAGGTATTTGAGGTGAAGATGCAGCTTGTCAACTAATTATAATAAAACTCAATTATACTCTATGTTTAGTTCTAAATAGTCTGCTACTCCATTTGCAGTAATTTCATTCATTCGACTCCATTTTTAGTAGAGGTATTGCAAATTACCTCAACAAATGGAGATCCTACAGGGAAGTCAAATCTTCATATTTGACTCATTCTGGTGTCTGAGTCAGCCGCTTGTTTGGGAGGAGGAATCTGAGGTTTTCTTTAGAACTACAAAAAGAAAAGGTTTTTCAATGCTTGGTATAACCTCTCTGATACCTTCAAGATGAGTTATATTTCTATTGCAGATAAGGTTAATCTTGTCATATTCATGGCAATTATAAATGATCGTCTGCATCAAATTAGTTTTTTAATACTGGTTTGAGGAATACTGAGGGCAAGGCTCTAAACTACATTCCTGAACTGTTTAAAAAAAAAAAAAAAAAAAAAAGAATTATTCCTGCCCCTGTTTTGCTCTGGGGGACCCTTTACGTGAGGGTTACAGAAAGGGGAGGAAGAAGAAAGTACCTTTGAGAACATTTAATAGAAGAGTTGCAAATTCCCGTGAGGGAGATGGCAGCTCGGCACGCAGCAGCCGGCATGTGAGCCGTGCCTCTTCCCTCGCCTGCCTCAGCTTTTGTTACTGGATTCAAGAACTTCAAAGCTTTTCATTTTTCACCAACAATTATCTTGGACCAATCTGAGTGTGTTTCAAATAGCTGAAGTCTGGGAGCCTGTCTTTGTTCCTCTGATTAAAGAACAAATTGTTTTTTAGAGCAGGCTTATGTTGAAAATGGGCTACAAGCTTAACTTGATCGTGAGGATAAACGCGCTATTGCACTTTCACCTCGGCACTCCCGGCAAGCCTAGCTTGTGCTGGCGCTGAATTTGTTGTGCCTGATAAGAACCGAGCTTCTTTCGGAAGAAATAAATAACTTTTGCAATGCCCCCCTTTGAAGGGGGTTTCAGCATTAGCAGAGGGGAAGAGCAGTCAGAGGAAGGAAATGAGATTGGCTCTATCCTGGCCTTTCCTGTCTGTATAAATAAATTGGAAAATACTCGCTGAATTGCCCGTGGCGGTGCCCGAGCAGTGCCCAGCGGCAGGGTAGGACACTGTTAGTTCAGGTTTTCTTTCAGCTTCCTTTTTCCTTCATTCGGAAGCCACTGCTGGGCAGCCTCTTTGGGTCTGGGGTGAGTGATGGGACAAGGGGCAATGGGCCCAAATGGAAGCGTAGGAGGTTCCAGTTGAACATGAGGAAGAACTTCTTTACTTTGAGGGTGACAGAGCACTGGTACAGGCTGCCCCAGGGGGGTTGTGGCGTCTCCTCCTCTGGAGATATTCAAAGCCTGCCTGGACGATGTCCTGTGCAACCTGCTCTGGGTGACCCTGCTTTAGCAGGAGGGTTGGACTGGGTGATCCCTGGAGGTCCCTTCCAACCCCCGCTGTTCTGTGATTGTGATACATCTGTAGGTGGGCAAACTCCTCAAGCAGCTAGGGCAGTGGGCCTGAGTGGGAGAGGAGTGAGCACACACATCTCTCCAAACTCCTTTTTACTTTCCGTGTGCAATGCATAATCTTCATGGGGTTCATGTTTCCATGCTTTGCTTCCTCAGGGGAGATACTTAACGCAGGTGTCAGGTATGTGTCATTGCCTGTTCAAACAGCATTGTGGTCCTTGGCGTCTCATTTGTGCTAGATGGGCTCCTCCAAAAGAAAAGAGCAAGCTCCTCCATGCTTCTTTGCTGAGGGCCATCAGCAAGCCCAAGCCACAAGTGTCTCATCACCTACCGTGTCCATGGTAGCATTGCACAAAGCCTTTTCCACAACATGGAGCCACACATTTCCATGAGACTGATCATTAGGGTTTTTTTTTATAGGGAGTGGTGTCAACTCGAGCCTCCTTTGCCAGCTGAAACAAGATGATGACAGCCAAGCATGAGTGGAGTGTGAGCGAAGCATGTGGGAGTTAGCTGCGTCTCACAAAATGGCCTTAAGCTCTGTCAAAAAGGATCTCAGAAGCTGTGCCTATCGTTTTCACCTTGTATGTCTCTTGCTTGTTCAGACCCCAGCAGAGGTGGCAGTCAGAACATGGGTTGGAGTCAGCTGCAAGTGAAGGTTTTATGTGAAGAAATGCCTTGTGCTGCTCCCCGGTGTCCATCAGTTTCTGTCTAAAATTGCTCTTTGACCAATAAGCAGCTCCTGTTGTATCTCCCCCAAACCCATCCTGGCTTCAGTAAAAGGCAAGCCGTGATCTCTGCCTTTCATGCGTGGTGGGTGTTGATGACTTTATGGGCATGGTTAGGCAGTTTGACTGCTACCAAGGGGGATAATGGAGGTGGGATGGAGCCTGCAGGATCTCATGTCGGTTATCGTGTATTAGAAAGGAAGGACCTGGATTATTTCTTGGAGCCAGCGGTGAAGTTGCAGACCTGCCATTTGGACTGAATGTTGTTGCCATTGTAAATTGAGCCTATTTTCTGCAGGAGGACTGAGTAATGTGGTGCTCCCTACAAGCTATTTTAGTTACGCCCCTGAATAGAGCAGCCCTTTTTTCTTGAGTAGCGCAGGTGTCTCGGCATCTTTCTCAAGGCTGAGTGGTGACAGTGCTTCAGGATGCCAGTTCTGAGACAGTTTAATAGCCAGTGTCCCTTGAGACCAAAGTAGATGAGCTTGATTCAGTGTAATTTGCTTGTCACAGCTATGGATAAAGAACACTTTGTGAAATAATATGTCAGACATCTGAATGATGGGATGTACAAACTGTGCTCTAGCAGTAGGAGAGGTAGAGAAAAGGTGCTTACCCTTTGAAAGCAAAACAGAAACAGAGCTGCTTCTTCCACCAGGACTCTTCTGATAAGTTCCTCTCCTTGAGGATTTTAAGCAGCCTTTATCTTGGTGGTGGCTTCAGCAATGGGAGAAGGGAGCTACCTCTTGCTGCAGGCATGGGGATAAGTGGCTGGAAAGCTGCTTGGCAGAGAGGGACCTGGGGGCACTGGTTGACAGCTGGCTGAATATGAGCCAGCAGTGTGCCCAGGTGGCCAAGAGGGCCAACAGCATCCTGGCTTGTATCAGGAATAGTGTGGCCAGCAGGAGAAGGGAAGTCATCCTTCCCCTGTACTCAGCACTGGTGAGGCCACATCTCGAATACTGTGTTCAGTTTTGGGCCCCTCACTACAGGAAGGACATCGAGGTGCTGGAATGTGTCCAGAGAAGGTCAATGAAGCTGGTGAAGGGCTCATATTCAGCCAGCTGTTGACCAGTACCTCCAGATCCCCCTCTGTCAAGCAGCTTTCCAGACATTCTTCCCCAAGCCTGTAGTGTTGCATGGGGTTATTGTGACCCAAGTGCTGGACCTGGCACTTGGCCTTGTTGAACCTCATACAATTGGCCTTGGCCCATTGATCCAGGCTGTCCAGGTCCCTCTGCAGAGCCCTCCTCCCCTTGAGCAGATCGACACTCATGCCGAATTTGGCGTCATCTACAAACTTACTGAGGCTGCACTCCATCCCCTCATCCAGATCATTGATAAAGATGTTAAACAGAACTGGCCCCAACACAGAGCACTGGGGAACACCACTTGTGACCGGCCACCAACTGGATTTAACTCCATTCACCACCACCCTTTGGGCCCGGCCATCCAGCCCGAGCAAAGAGTACAGCTGTCCAGGCCATGAGCAGCCAGTTTCTCCAGGAGAATGCTGTGGAAAACATTGTCAAAGGCTTTACTGAAGTCCAGGTAGACAACATACACAGCCTTTCCCTCATCCACTAGGCAGGTCACCGGGTCATGGAAGGAGCTCAG